ACAATCACTTTTGAAAATAGTTTTCAGTTTAGTATTAATTTAACATGCAATCAACATATGACCCAGTAATTATCCATACAAAGATCTGTAAATGAATGTTTACTACAATAGTATACTTAATTCTTAATAGCTCAAATCTGGAAAATACTCAATTGTTTACCAAAAAGTGAATGGATAAGTTTTAGTATTTTCATACAACAGAAATAAAAAGTCAAAAATAAAAAGGTACAAATCACTGATATATTCAAGAACATGGAAGCATTCCAAAAGTATTGTATATGCTAAACAAAAAAGTGACCCTATGTACAAAAGAAATAAACAATGGGATTCTGTTTATATGAAATTCTAGAAATGGCAAAACTTATCTATAATTACATAAAACAAATCATCAATTGTGTGGGGCCAGTTATAGGAGTGAGGTGGACTGCAAAGGAACATGAGGGAACTTGGAGGGTGATGGAAATGTTCTAATTATTTTTCTTAAATAGATTTTTATCAATTTCAGAGCTGAAGGAAGAGAAAGAGGAGATAAAACTTCAGTGATGAGAGAGAATCATCGATTGGTTGCCACCTGGAAGGCCCCACTGAGGATGGAACCCAAATCCCAGGTAGGTACCCCAACCAGAATCAAACTGGGACCTCCTGGTTCATAAGTCTATGTCAACCACTGAGTCACACAAGCTAGGCTAATTCTTGATTAGGCTGGTGGTTACAAAGGTGCATACATCTATCAAAACTCAAACTGTATATTAAATATATGTGCAGATTTTTATGTAAAAGTTGATTTAGAAAGTAAAAGACTGGCCCTAGCTAGTCTTACTCAGTGGAGAGAGCATCAGTCTGTGGACTGAATGGTCCTGGGTTCAATTCCGTCAAGGGCACAGGCCGGATTGCAGGTTCAGTCCCCGGTGAGGGGCTTGTAGAAGGCAGCCAATCAGTGATTCTCTCTCATCATTGATGTTTCTATCTCTCTCCCTCTCCTTTTCTCTCTGAAATCAATTAATCAGTATCCTAATATAAAAATAAAAAAAAAATCAGAGTCCGTAACGACTGAAGGCTCCATCAAACACCGGAAGTTAGTCCTGTAGTCAGTGCTGGACTGCTGTGGCAAACCAGCACTGACTGCCGCCTCTGCAGGTGCAGTGATCCAGCAAGACTACTGATGCGGCTACAGAGCAGGCCCAGAGAGAGGGGCAGGGTCTGATTCACAGCCTCTGTGGCAGCTGTTGATCAGCCCTTGCTTCTTTCTTTCCTGGCTTCATCAGCAGCTGCGCCTCTTGTTCTCCACGAGGGCTGCTGATAAGCCCCTTGTGTCTCTGATCAGGCCCGGAGATAGGACCGGAGACGCTGACTGGCATAGAAGCTGACTAATCAGAACCAAATCTGGGTGAACTCTGAGGGGCCAATGGTTGCATAGGAGGCGGAGCTTTTGATGCTGATTGGCATAGAAACCGATAAATCAGAACCTAATTGGGTAAACTGCAAAGTCAGATCCTAAAATGGGGGCTGAGGAGGGATTTTAAGAGCAACAGCTTTTTGGTATAAGGCAATGGTCGGGAAACTTGTTAGTCAACAGAGCTGCAGTTTACCAACCACTAGTATAAGGTGTAAGAAAGCAGTTCAAATTTTATTTATTTTATTATTTTTTTTTTTTAGCAGTTCAATTTTTTAATGACCAGTTTGGCAGTATAGTGCATACGACTGGCTATCTATCAGTCCAGATATAGGGATTATGTATTTTGTCTGCCAAGAGCATCTCCTCTTGCTGAAAAAGGCTCCCCCACACCACCATTTAAACAATCCTATACTATATAATTTATCTATACTAATAAAAGAGTAATATGCTAATTAGACCACGTTGATCAGCCATCTTCTGGATGTCGGACTTCCTTCCAGGCAAAGCAAAGATGGTGGGGGCCGAGGCAGAGAAGTTAGGGGTGATCAGGCCAGCAGTTAGGGGTGATCAGGCCAGCAGGGGAGGGCATTTGAGTAGTGAGATCAGGTCAGCAGGGGAGGGCTATTGGGGGCAAGATCAGGCCAGTAGAGGAGGCAGTTAGGGGTGAGCAGGCAGGCAGAGAGAGGTTAGGGGCAATCAGGCAGGCAGAGACAGTTAGGTGTAATCAGGCAGGCAGGTGAGCAGTTAGGAGCTAGCGGTCAGACATCGGACATCCCCCAAGGGGTCCCCAATTGGAGAGGGTGAGGGCTGGGCTGGGGGAACACCCTCACACACATGAATTTCATGCATCGGGCCCCACTAGTGTGTGTGTGTGTCTGTCTCTTCATTCATATATATATATATAGTGACCAGACATCCCACTTTTAGCGGGACAGTCATGCTTTTTAACAATTTGTCCCGTGGCATTTTAAAAAAGTCCCGATTTTTGAAAAGACTCTTCAGGACTTTTTTAAAACACCGCGGGACAAATTGTTAAAAAGCGTGACTGTCCCGCTTTTGATCACCTTAATATATTAAAAAAAAAAAAAAAAAAAAAAAATATAATATATATATATATATATATATATATATATATATATATATATAACTAATTAAAAAAAAAAAAAGGAAAAAGAGTGCCCTGATTCTAGCCAGTTTGGCTCAGTGGATAGAGCAGCAGCCTGCAGACCAAATAGTCCCAGGTTTAATTACAGTCCAGAGCACATATCATGGTTGTAGGCTCCAACCAATCGATATGTTTCTCTCACATTGATGTTTCCCTCCAATCTTTCCCTCTCCCACTCTCTTTAAAAGATCAATGGAAAAATATCCTTAGGTGAGGATTAACAACAACAAAAAAAGAGTGCCAGGTCTGCTCAGTGGTTAGAATGTCAGCCCTCAGATCGAAGGATTGTGGGTTGGATTCCCAGTCAAGACTCCCTAGACCACATGTGTCAAACACAAGGCCCGCGGGCCAAATCCGTCCCGCCAGGCCTTGCAATGTGGCCCGCACCGCGCTGTCATCACTGCACTCCGCTGCGTTTCCATCACAATGACAGTTTATGACTGTTCAGTAAACCATTTGGCCCGCGATTTAGGCTGGATTTTAGATTTTGGCCCCTTCTCTGATTGAGTTCAACACCCCTACCCTAGACCCAGGAGGGGCATGTGTGGGAAGAAACCAATCTTTGTGTCTTTTTCATATCAATGTTTCTCTCTCCCTCCCTCTCTTCCTTCCTTTACACTCTCTCTAGAAATCAATGAAAAAATATCCTCGAGTGAAGATTTTTTTAAAAGTAAAAGAGTGGTACGGCGCATATACTGGTATGGGAAGAAAGTTATATCTCTAACATAACATCATCCACAAAAATAAACTTGGCTAAATATAAACATAGAAAACAAAATTGCAATCACACGAAAAGAAAAATAATAGGATATATTTATAATTTTAGGGAATGAATAGTGTTCTTTAAAAAGATATTAAAAAGCAAAAGCTATAAGAAGGAGAAAGATATATTGGTATTTACTCATCAAAATTAAAACTTCAAGACCATAAAACTTAAATGGGCTATGGGAAATATATCTGCAACATGCGGTAAAAGGAAATATTAGATTCCATAATTCAAACAAACAAACAAAAAAACATTAAAAAATACTCCTAACACTCAGAGGTGAAAGATGCAATCCTAAGGGTAGAGGATGTGGGTAAATTCATCTATATAGAAATCAAATGGATGGCAAATTTGTAAAGATGAACTTCACTAGCCATTTGGAAATGGAATGCCACTTTTCACTCAAAAGATTAGTGGTCAAAATAACAAATGGGTGTGCATATGAGGAAAAATAGGGAACACAAGTGGGAGCACTGACTGATACATTCACTTCAGAGGGAATTTGAGAGTATATATTAGGCGTATACTTTCAATACTCAGTAATTCTACTTCTTGCTTTTTCCCAAAAGAAACTTGCATGCACACTAGAAGGCATGAACAAAGATATCCACTATAGCAATGTTTATAGAAATGAAAACTTGCCAACTTAAATAGCAAAGGGAAATGGCTAAATAATAATATACATTTATAGTATGGATGCATTTTTAAAAAGTGAAATAGCGCTATATATAACATTATCTATTCATAATTTATAGATAATACATATGTATAACAAGGAAAAGACCTATTTCTGAGTGATCAAAAATACAAAGAAATAATTCTGTAAAGAAATAATGAGAAAATGCTTATGATTACATAATATGCATATAAATGCATATGAAAAGTATTACAAATGGCTGGGACCGGTTTGGCTCAGTGGATAGAGCGTCGGCCTGGGAACTGAAAGGTCCCAGGTTCGATTCCGGTCAAGGGCATGTACCTTGGTTGCGGGCGCATCCCCAGTAGGGGGTGTGCAAGAGGCAGCTGATTGATGACACTCTCTCATCGATGTTTCTAACTCTCTATCCCTCTCTCTTCCTCTCTGTGAAAAATCAATAAAATATATTTTAAAAAAAAGAAAAAAAAAGTATTACAAATGTATGTATGAAAGGAGCTCGTATGAGATGGAGGAGGCAAAACTGAGGAAGGCTACTATTAGAAGTCCTAATCAAACTACATAGAAGAATGTATTCTTGTATAATTTGTATAAGTTAATGTTTAAAAAATTCTGCTGATTTTAGTTGAGCTTGGAATTTTTGTCTGAGGTATCTTTTTCCATATAACATAAATATGGTTTCTATGTCATATGGAAAGGAGTTTCTCAGACAATAGTTTAAGAAGACCTTACCACCTGTAGCCTAGAAACCAAAGGCGTTTGCCAACGAACTTAAAAGTCTCTTCCTCATATTGCCTTGAAAGCTTTTCAAGTATCTCTCCATTTAAATCCCTCTTGATTCAACTATCTGGTTTTATTTTTCATAGCAGTTATCACTAGCTGAACTTATCTGTTTATTCTCGTTTATTGTCTGACTCCCACTAGAATGGGAATGGCAAGACAATTTTGAATTCATATAATTTTAGTCAAGCCATTAAGAGTTTTCTTACAGTATCAAAGATACATTTTATTTACTTACCTTAGTTGGAAAAGGAAATTTGGAAGGTTCTGTTTTGCATGGTGTATGAATAGCCGTTAGAGGGGGAGGCCATGAATGCGTCATCTCCTGAAATGTAATTATTACAGTTTGTTTTCAACCAGGTCAAGGATAAAAATTACACAGCTAAAAACCAGATTTGTATTATAAATGCTGGTTTCATGATTGTTCCTCTAAAGGTATACATATTTAATCGATAAATATTAATTAAGCACAACTGTGTGCAAGGCACTTTTGGGTAGGTAATAGGAAAATAAATAATATACACTCTCTGGTGTCAAAGAGCTGGGAATTAGAATGATATAACCTTGTGAACAGTTACAGAAATTAGTCCTGTAGTCAAATACAAGGCACATAGTAAAATGCTACTGAGGAAGAGGTTGCTGTGGGAGTGAGAGGAGAGAGATAATAATAATAAAAGTAGCTAACGCTGTGTGCCTGTAATGAGCCAGACATTATGCTAAGTGTTTTACATGTCTATTACTCATATAGTGTTCACAATCACATTATGAGGTAGATAGCATTATTATCCTAAGTCTATGTAGGATGAAAATGAAGCACAGAGATTAAGTTATTTATGCAAGATCACACATTTAGTAAGTAATGAACACAGAATTTCATCCTAGGATGTCTGGCCACAGAGGTTATTCACTGATAGGAAATATTAGTCAGGAAAATCAGAAAACAGATATCAAAAGCACATGAGCAAGAAGACAAACAAGCACAGCCATAAGTCTGATTTTATTCAATACCTGCTGTCTAATCATATGCCAAGTATGTCCAAGTGGAGGTTTGGATAAGATCACAATGTGCATATTAGGGAACCAGGGGAGAGAGAGATATTAAACATGGAATAAGGAGGGAGTGTTTTATTCTGGCATTTAGCTCAAAGTAAACCATTATACAGAGAAAAATACAATAAAGGTAGCATAAGCTTTAAGAATTTATCTTATAGCTTATACCCATATAGTTAAGATACATGTTCAAGCAGCTCACACTAAAAAAATGGAAGCAACCTAAATGTCCAATAACACAGGAATAATTAAATAAATAACCAGACATCCATACGATGGAACACCAAGCAGACAGTAAAATGAGAAATTTAAATACTGACATGAAATGATGTCCACAGATTATTACTAAGTAACAAACAAAAATCACAGTGTCTATGTTCTAGTAAATGTTTATATATGAAAAAAAAAAAAAATCTCTGGAAGATAGTTAACAATAGCTACCTTTGGGCAACAGAATGGCAGAAGGGACAAAAGACAAGGGAATTTGATACAGTCTTTACTACCCTGTTTCCCAAAAAATAAGACAGTGTCTTATATTAATTTTTTCTCCAAAAGTTGCGCTAGGTCTTATTTTCAGGGGATGTCTTATCTTTTCACGCGCTAGGTCCTATTTTCGGAGGATGTCTTATTTTCGGGGAAACACAGTACTTGAACCTCTAGAATCACTCACTACCTGCACTGTAATTGCTCTTCACCTTCTTACAATGCTTTATTTTTTAATGACATTTCACTTACTGAAATAATATAATTGATTTCTTATATCCTGCTCTAAAATGTCAGCTCAAAGGCAACAGTATCATTATCATCACCACTGCATACCCAATATTTGATACACAGTAAGTGTTAAATTAGTAAGACTTGAATTAATAAATCCTTTTTTATAGTAAATACATACTGCTTTTACATTACATTTTTTTCCCCTTTAAATTTGTTCCTAGAAACAGTATGACTACAAATATCAAGAAAACATGAAGGGAATTCAGACCTGAAGTTCCTTGCCCACTGCACATAGGGAAGGGGAAAGAAAACAGAAAATCATATACCCCAGGTTTATAGTATTGGTATTTTACACTTCAAATACCAAAATACCCTCAAAAGAAAATCCATCATCAAATGATTGAGCACTTATTACACCCAAGGCCATATGCCACCTTGTATATATAAAATGCAAAATAAATTGTCAGTAATATGAAAGGTATAATTAAGTACAAAAAAATATAAGATTTCTTCTAGGTATTAGAATGCCATATATTTTTGAGGATTTGGGGAAGAGAGATATGCTCCCTTAGATTTTTTTATATACATGGCAACTGAAAAATTAATGCTATATGAAAATCAAAGGAAAAAGCTTATCACTGTGGTTTCTGTTGATATGATAAAGGGGGAAGAGAATTTCATTAGAATTCTAATAAAAAATAAAATCTATATATAACTTGAGAGGAAGGAGAGACACACTCCATGCAAGTTTTCTTTAAAAAAGGTAAAAGGGCCGAAACTGGTTTGGCTCAATGGATAGAGCGTCGGCTTGGGGACTGAAAGGTCCTGGGCATGTACGTTGGTTGCGGGCATATCCCCAGTAGGGGGTGTGCAAGAGGCAGCTGATCGATGACTCTCTCTCATCGATGTTTCTAACTTTCTATCTCTCTCCCTTCCTCTCTGTACAAAATTAATAAAATATATTTTTTTTTAAAAAAAGGTAAAAGGAAGAGAACATGTATGGCTTAGGGAAACCAGTATGGTTAATCTGTAGTGGGAGAGATTAGGACTGGCCTATGGAAGATCTGGAATGTTAAATTTGGGCACTATTCTTTGTAGGGGCCTTAAGAGAGCCATTGAAAATTTTTAGGAAGCATATTAATTTATGAAGATAAAAGGATTGAGGCAATGAACCTGGTAGCAATACAGAAGACAGATGAGCAGGGAGACTGAAGACAAGAAAGGCAGAGTGAGAACTGTACATTGCAATTATTGAAGCTCAAGGTAGCAGAAATGGAAATAAAGGAAATAAATATTTTCAAGGAATTTCAAAGTCTACCTGTAGTCTGTGATTAAATAGAACATGTGAGAAAGAAATGAGAGGTAATTAGGATGCTACACTTATAAGAATGGGAAAATGGTAGTACTATTAATGCAAGGAAACCTGATAAATTTAGACATTTTAGTCTGAAAAAGCAGGGAGAAATCCAAATGGAGACACAGGTAAAAAAAAAAAATAAAAAAAAATAAAAAAATAAAATAAAATAAAATAAAAATTAAGAAACATAAACCAAAACCTAAAGGAGACCAAGGCAGACGAGAAAGACTGAATAGATATCTAATAGATAAAGCAAAATAAATAAATAAATAAATAAATAAATGGAGACAATGGCAACTAACCGAGCAAAAACAGGAGGAGAGGCTAGAAAATATACCCATATTAAAAAGGTAAGAGAGGACACAGGGTTCCCCAAAGGCAGAGAATAAGAGACAAGAAAATTGTATGGGAAATAAAAACAATGAAGCATAACAACAGCCAAGGAAGAAAAAAATAAAAATCCTTTAAAAGAGCTGAAAGAGCAGAGAACTCAAATGAAGTCCCCAAGGACATCACAGAACAGATTCAGCAAAATGGTAGAGATAAAGGAGAGATTATACTGGACTAAAGGAAAGAAAAAAGGAATAAAGTAAAAGTGACCAATGCAAATAATCTTTCAAAAGTATCCATATTGAAATGCTAATAGAATAAAAATTTAGGTGCTTTTATAAAAAGTACAAGTAATATGTTTCTGACAGTTTTTCTCTATTGAGTCAAAAGCAGTTATTTGGTCACTCATACATATGAGTGACCAAATAACTTCATATTTTTCAAAAGCTTTAAAATATCTTTCTTATGCCGAAACCGGTTTGGCTCAGTGGTAGAGCGTCGGTCTGCGGACTGAAAGGTCCCAGGTTCGATTCCGGTCAAGGGCATGTACATTGGTTGCGGGCACATCCCCGATAGGGGGTGCGCAAGAGGCAGCTGGTTGATGTTTCTCTATCATCAACGTTTCTAGCTCTCTATCCTTCTCCCTTCCTCTCTGTAAAAAAATCAATAAAATATATTTAAAAAAAAAAAAAATATATATATATATATCTTTCTTATATTCAGATTAAAAATAATTTTAAGTGAAATTATTCAGGTGAGCAGCTTGTCAAAAAAATTCAAATATTTATATACAAAATATACCATGATACTGAGATACATCACTGGACTTCCTCTTTTTCTTTTCTCAATGGAGGAATCTACTTTTTGGTCATATGTCACTTTTAAACATTCCATTAAACACTCAAAATATGCAGTATTCAGAGGAGGTCTTTCAATGTAGGATTTGATCAGTGTGTACAGATGAATTACAAAGCAAGCTATTTTCAATATGATGGTTTGACTGATAACTATCGAGTTTTTTTAGCACTTCAAATAACTAACAGATAAACCAGAAAACGTATAGTTATATTTAGTTCCTTCCTCTTTTTAAGGCCAACAGTTAAGACTGAAATTTGTTTTACTTAAAAACAAAAACCGCTCTTTGAGGCCAAATAGTAAACAAACCAAGTGATTTAGAACCTAAGTATGAATATAAGCATAATAAATAGGGTCAATTATTTTTTATGGACATAATCAAGTTACACATGTGAACAATCTGTTGCTTCAGATCCTTTGTGAAATAGAGGGATAAATAGGGTAAGTGAGTGGCAGAGCAACTTACTTTAAGAATTTCATCCACACAGCTCACATCACCAGAAGCAGATGCCTTAGGAAAGAAGAAAAGAAACAGACATTAGATTTGAAATCACTTATTATTAGAATTTTATCATTGGTTGTACAAATTCAATAACATTATTAGAAACAAAACTTAAAGAAGTACTTATGCTCCCACTATTCCACATCAGAGTACTTATTAGAATACTTGGACTACTTTTCTTAAATACAAACTTCTCAAAAACTAAAAATATCTTAATCACCAGACAGTACATGACTTTAAAAAAACTGTAGTTTTCAAAAGCTTTAGAATTTCTTTCTCATACTTAGGTTAGAAATTATTTTTAAATGTAATTTTTCAGATGAACAATTTGCCAAAATTTTTTAAAATTCTAAGAATCATATTGTTTGAAGAAAGAACAAATTACCACTTTTTTCTGTCCAGAGGAGTAATTAGATGACAAATGCCAAGAACAATAAGTTTTTCAAGGCCACAGGAAAATTTTTTAAATGTTCTCAAAATATGTTTAAATGTTCTCTAAACCTGACCTCCACCCCACTGTTTTAAGCTATGAGCTGTGATTTTCAGCTACTAACATTATCTTTAATTATTTTATTTTATTTTTTATCCTCACCTGAGGATATGTTCATTGATTTGAGGGTTAGAGCAAGAGAGAGATAGGTGAGAAAAGAGGAAGAGGTGGAAAAAGAGACAGAGAGAGAGAAACATCAATGTGAGAGAGATGTGTGTGCCCTGACCAGGAATTGGAACCCACAAACTTTTAGTGTATGGGAAAATGCTCCAACTAACCAGGCCACCTAGCCAGTAGGAAATCTAAGATTTTCACAGATCATACTTTTATTCTATAACCAACTCATCATTTTAATGTTTGAAACAACGAATATTTTCTCTACTGCATAAGAGGGCGAAACTAAAAATTCTATGGATCCATTTGGAAGTCAATCACAAGTCTTCCTTTAAACTTTTACATTCCTTACTATTACTACAAAGGGACAGTTCAAGATCAACCATAGTTTCATGGTAAACTGCTCCACATAGTCACAATGTTAAAAAAAAGTTCTAAATGTGTGACTTACATCCAGTGGTTGAGAAGGTATTTTCAGCTTGGTGAGATGTGCTTTGCTGCTAGATTTCAATTCAGCCATGCTGTTGCCATGGGATTGACTGCTGTAGTGCTCAGAGGACAGCTTTGGTTCCATGGACTCCTGTCCGTCCATAGGTCGTACATAGGCAGTGGGTTTCTGTAACATTGAACTGGACTTTGACATCAATGAAGGTGGGAAAGACTGATTTGAGTGCTGCCCACTTGAAAAAGATACACGGGAAGGAGAATCCCAATTTGCATCAGGGTCCCGAGGTGATTTGGAACGCTGATGTTCCTTGTTATGGTGATCATTCCCGTGAGACCTGGAATGACTGGAGCTTAATGATGAGACAGCCTGGGGTTTTCCAGGGCTGGAAGAGCGTGATTTGGAGTGTTCTGATCCATGCTGGCCTTTTTTCCGGCTACTGCTCCCACTACTGCTATATGAATCACGGTCATGCCTCTGGCTACTACTATTAGTGCCACCACTGCCACCTGCACTGGTCCGCTGGTTACTGTGTCCACTCTGTAAGCCTGAGGACCGTTTCTGAGACTGAGAAGTGCTGGGTGCAGGTCCTACAGGAGTCCATTTGCTACTCTGATGAGAGCTTCCATGTCTCTGTTCAAAGAAATTTGGGTTAGATTTTTCATCTGCTGTCGTTGGTACTGCAGGCTTGGGAAGTGCAACAAGCTTTGGTATAGATCTGTCTCCTATGAAATCCTTCATTTCATCGTAGTTTCCAAGCATACTCTGAATACGACTTGATAGCTTATCTTCTTTACTAGTCTACAAAGAAATGTAAAATATAATTATATAATTAGCATAACTTGAAATAAGAGATGCCTCTAAAGTGACTTTCCAAACTTCAAATAGAAAGGGTCTTTCCTATCTTCAGGTTAACAACTCAAAGCAAACTACAAATATATAATTTTTTCTAGTGAAAACAATGCACTGAAACTGAAACACATTCATGCTAAAACACAAATATTCTATAGGACACTGAGAAATATATATATAATAAATTCCAGGAGGAGAAAAATATAAATTTCACCAATAAATATATTGACACAATACTGAAAATCTTTTCAAGAACAGGAAAAATAATCTGCCTTTATGTAATTAAGTTCCAGGTCATCAGATTATTCATACACAGTCTAGGAAAACATTATATTCCTAATAATTCAAAAATTTAGTGAAACAAGTTCTAGCCAACTACTGTTTTTTAAATTTTAATTCCTCTGTTACTTTGACTCATCAAATTAAGAAAAGTCCCAGTAACAAATTAAGCATAGACAATCCATTGGTAAAAGTTTTAAATTCTCCCCAATAAATTTAATTTAAATGAATAAATAAATAAATAAGTTTTAAATCCTAACTACAAATTCTGACCAATAAATACTCCGCTATTTGAAGTCAATAGTACATACTTTAAACTTAAAGAATTATTCTTGGATAATAAGGAAGTCGAAGATGTATCCAAGCTTTAGGACTCTTTCACGTTCATACACATAGAAGAAAGTCTACCAATTACATTAAAAAAGGAAATCAAGACTGAGTCACTACTATTTTATTTTGTGGTTGCATGAATCAGTAAGGACTTTAAATAATTTGAAAATCAGTATGATCCCTACTAAGAAAGCTAACTATACAGCAACTTATAGACAATATCAAGATTAGAAATAAAATCCAATTCATTACAGAGTGATTACAAAATAAATGGCATATGATTTTAATCAATAATCCCAAATCTCAAGTTTTGTGTTATATTCATATAAATCATGTCAGTTTAACTGCCTTTATTAGGAAATCCTTAAAAGCTCTGAATGCATGGCTTTTATAGATCTCATATAATATCCATAAACATTAAATGTTCTAAGGATAAATCCAGGATATGCTCTTACATTTATTTTTATTTTTTGCTGTTACATTTATATTTCATCAGAAAAAAAAGTCTAACAACTTCTCAATCTCATACTATGGTAATAATGGTCATTGCTGCTGCTATACATTGTATTATAGCTATTATACAAAATATGTCTTTAAAATGTAAAAATACTTCAAATAAAACCCAAAGCCAAATCAAATATTAGACACCTTTGTGGCCACTATAGCTACATTAGTCATCAGAAGTGGTACCATTCAGTGTTTTATGTCATCCCAAATCAAGCACAATGGTAGTTATAAAAATAGCAGTTGGTTCCATTTATTGAACAACTCTGACAATATGCTTTACTCTAAATCTGATATGGTTAATTAAGCATTAAATACATTAGAAAGAAAATCAGAGAATTTAGTATGTGACAATAGCAAAAGAAACAGATTGATACTGAAAATACATTTATTCAAACAAACTATTAAGTCACTGAAACCTAGTTAACCAAGCAACTGAATAGGCAGAAAGAATCTATGAAATATATTCATTTTGTCTGAGGTTATACCCAAAGAACCTAGAAAACAGCAGACAATGAAGATTGATTCACAAAATTTTAACTTAATTTAAGGCTTAAAAAGGTGAAATACCTGCCCAAAGTTAGTAGTAGAGACAGAAATACAGACATGAATGTTTGAGCTAATCCAGATCACATTTTCAAAATTATAGGATAGCAATTGGGAGGGAGATGGGCAATGACAATGACTGCTGGGCCCTAGTAATACCCTATTTCTTGATCTAGATACTGATTATTATCAGGGTGTTCATGCTGTGAAAAATTCTTTTAGCTATAACATAATTTGTATACTTATTTTTACACGTTATACTCCAATAAAAGCACCTCAAAAAAATAAATTCCACTCAGAGGAAATGGTATACATGATAACTCTTATCTAATATAAAAATTCAAGCTTATAAACATTTTAAAAATAAAAACATCATAGTATTGCCCTAGCCAGTTTGGCTCAGTGAATAGAGCATCAGCCTGCGGTCTGAAGGTCCCAGGTTCGATTCTGGTCAAAAACAAGGTTGTGGGCTCAGTCCCAGTGGGGGGCATGCAGGAGGCAGCCAATCAATGATTCTCTCATCATTGATATTTCTCTCTCTCTCCCTCTCTCTCCCTCTCCCTTCCTCTCTGATTAAAAAATAATAATGATAAAAATTTTTAAATGTCATATTGGGGGGAAAACATTCAGAAAAGGACAACTTACAACTTTGTATGGCTCAGCAAAGAGAGGAGAGCTAGGTGGGAAGGCGTCTTCACCCTGCTGAATTTCCTGATTCCGCCTTTCCCGTTCTTTCATACGCAGCACATTCCGGTCTTCACGGTTCATGTTGCTATGGGGAAAAAACACAACCTTTATATCACACAAAAGAAAAGGAAAAATTAGATGTTCTCTACTGATTTTGTCAGTTTAATGCTTCAAATGGAGATTCCCTTTCACCTTCCAAATAATAACAGGCATTAGTGCTGAAGTTGGGTTTTGGCAATGATTTTATCAATTAATACCACCCCATTGAAATACTTAACCTTATCAACTTTTAAAGTATTCTGCTATCTAAAAGCCAGCTAAAACTTATACATTCAGAGAGAAGGTAGTACTTAAACCCAAATCCTTAATATTTCTGATGGCTTCCTCTTCAGAACTCTTAACTATTCTCTGTTATTAGAGGCATACAACCCACTCCCACCTACCGCCCCTTCTCCCCAAGGTCCAGTGCTTGTCTCTACTTTGCATCTACCTTATCTTGATTTCTTTTTGTCCCAAACACAGCTTCCTTGGTGTCCATCCTTATGGCAGTTTGACCTCAGCTTTGCTGTTGCTCTAGATTCCCTAAAAAACGACATTTCTGCTCTAAATACATTAATATTTCAATTAACACCTCAATAAATGGCAAAACCGAGGCTTTCAGCAATATAATCTAAAATTACTTGGGTTAGTAACAGTAGTTGAAATTGTGATGGAAAAGAAAAAGACTTAGGGTGAAGGGAAAAATGAGAGTGTCTTTTCTATAATCATGAAAGTACGGTGTCTTTTCACTAAGAATAAACTAAGAAAAATAGTTGATTTACAGCAGTAGGGATTACGGTTACATAGATAATGAAAAAGGTTTTCAAACCCTGGGACAAAGAATTACCAGGAACTGTGTAACACTCTTCCTTGGAGATAGATTAAACCACCTGTCCTAGTTTTACCAATACTTATTTTTAAATTTTTATTTATTTCAGAGAGGAAGAGAGGGAGAAAAAGAAAGAAACATCAGCGATGACAGAGAATCATTGACTGGCTGTCTCCTGCACATCCCCTACAGGGGATCAAGCCCGAAACCCAGGCATGTGCAGCACTGACTGGAATAGAATCCAGGACCCTTCACTCTGCAGCCCAATGTGCTATGCACTGAGTCAAATCAGCTAGGGCTGTTATACTTTTGATTAAAAAAAAAAAAAAAGTCCTGTTGGAAGCCAAAGGCAAAAATCAAGTGATACTATGTGCAGCATTTTGAGACTTATGATTTATTAATCAAATCTAATTGGAAAATTAAAGTCTAGAAAGATTAGGGAAATTTAATTGTAAAATTAGAATGGACAGCAAAGCCAATATACTCTTGAGGACTTTTATAAGTGGTTAGAACAGTATAACATTCAGAGATAACCTTTCTAATTTGCATAATCAATACCTTACATTTAATATTTTTAAAGTATCCTAAGTGTTCCAAATGTATATTCAAGCTGTTTCTTTTTTTAATTTAAATATATTTTATTGATTTTTTACAGAGAGGAGGAGAGAAGGATAGAGAGCTAGAAACGTCGATGAGAGAGAAACATCGACCAGCTGCCTCTTGCACACCCTCTACCGGGGATGTGCCCACAACCAATGTACATGCCCTTGACCTGAATCGAACCTGGGACTTTTCAGTCCGCAGACCGACGCTCTACCACTAAGCCAAACCGGTTTCGGCTTCAAGTTGTTTCTTATTTGTACAATTTTCTAATAAACTTAGAAATGAATGTTTATTGAGTGTGTGCTTTGTTCGATCTCCCTAGTATTTAGCACCATACAGAACCCCCAAAAGTGTTTGAGTCTTCCTTTAATAAATATCATACAACATCTACACTTCAGTATTCAGAGAATAAAACCAAAGACCATATATTATCCTCCAGTTCACTTGATACAACTAATAATTGTATATCGCTAACAATCAAGTTTCAAATAGACCTCTTAACCTATGGTGCTGGAAAATATAAATTTATTTGTATCTGAGAATTTAAGGGGCATGTTAACTAATGATTTTCTTACATTTCATAAATTCAATTCCAGAAAGATCAGAGATCAGAAATTCCTTCTTTAAACTATGATTTAATTTTATGTATTTAACACTAAAATAATCATGCAAGAAATACAAAAAAACAAAACAAAACAAAACAGGTATGATTTCCATTAAAAAAATCCCTCCAATAATTACAAAAAACTATGTTTTCTTTTCTTAAAAAATAAGAGTCATCCAACCGAATATTCCCTCTTTTAACAAGAATGCCAAGAAGCTCAGAACTGCCTGGCTGGTGTGGCTCAATGGCTGAGCACTGACCTATGAACCAGGAGGTTATGGTTTGATTCCCAGTCCAGGCACATGTCCAGGTTGTTGGTTCGATTCCCAGTGTGGGGAAGGCAGGAGGCAGCCAATCAATAATTATCTCTCATCACTTTATGTTTCTAACTCGCTCTCCCTCTCTCTTAACTTTCTGAAGTCAATAAAAATACACATTAAAAAAAATAAGATCAGAACTAAATTAAGAGATTATTTAAAAAGAACTAATACCCAGTTATAGTTCTTTTCTAACTTTTTTCCTGATTTGTTTTTGCATCTAATTTATTGTCTCCATTTTTTCCTTCTGTATTTTCACATCAATATCTTTGCTTAACGTAAAATAAAGTTTTCCAAAAGCAATCATTCCAGTAATATGAGCTCTCTTAAAAGTAACATAAAATTTAAATGTATCAATTTGAAATATATCTTTGCAGTACAAAAACTATTTTATTGCATATCCCTCATGACACATGCAGCTATTGTACTAAAACAGGATTCAGTGTTTGTTTTTAAATTAGCAAATTGCTGTATCAAAACAAAACTTATGGGACTGATAGATAAAAGGATTTTGAGAAGAAAACTTGTCAGGCACAGGCATGCAGGTGGGAAGATTGCTGGATTCAGAACTGTGGAACCCCTGGAGTATTATAGGAGATTCTTAAAAGAGAATTCTCATCCTGATGGAAGAGAACTAGGTGAACTGAGAACCACAACTGTCAACATGAGTTTAATTAGTTCTGCAGATGGTTCTGCTTCAGTGAAGCTGGAAAATACTACAGAAATTTGCAGTATTTGCAGCACTACCAACAGATGTCCCTGATAAAGGTGTGCTGTTCCTAATGTGAATCTGCCACCTCTGTATTCGAGATTTCAATGTGGACCTCTTCAAGTCAAAGGTAATTCAGGTGGTTTAATTATAAGCAAGGACTATTTGATAAGCTACATGGAGAGTGGCAACCTTGCTAGTAAAAATTCTTAAACATAAAACATCTAGTAACCAAAAACCAACAAGGGCAGTCATCTCTTAACTTTTTAAATATCGTAACAAAGTAATGTAAACTCTTAACTTCAATTGAACTATAAACAGTTGAGGTCCCAATTTACTAAATGGAACAATTAAGGATACCTGACTTTTTGTTCTGGTTACATAACACTGGTGGCCCAGTGTATAAATTTATGTACATTGAAAGGAAATTAATTAGAAGAAATATTTTAATAATGCTATTTGCCCTTTCTCTATAATAGAAGTGTCAATCAAATTCACTACAACGATGACAGATTGAAACACATGCATGCGATTGGCGCCAGCAAGAGCTTTATATGTATTAGGCATGCCTTTTATAGATATAAACTTACTAAATTAGCCTGCTTTCTGATTTAGCTAAAGTTTTTCCAGCCCAGTGAAGCACCCAAACTTCTCTTTCAGGCAATTGTCAGCAACACAGCAGTAAATATCAACACAAAGCACATTATTATAGTAAATCATGCAGAGAAAACAAAAGGTAAAATATTTAACTGCAGTAGTGTCTTGACTATATTCTGTGCAGTGAGAAAACCTGAAGTCATTTTCAAGGTCCACCATTTCTTTCTTTTTTTTTTTTAATAAATCTTTATTGTTCATATTATTACAAATGTTCCTCTTCCTCCCTGCCCACCCCCATTGCTCTCCTCCACCAGGTTCCCACCCCACCCTCTGCCCTTTCCCCACCCCCAATTGTCCTCATCCATAGGTGCACAGTTTATGTTCAGAATCTTCCCACATCCCCCTCTCCCCTTTTCCTCAAGAATCATCAGTTCACTCCCCTTCCATACCTCTGATTCTATTATATTCAACAGTTAATATTGTTCATCAGATTTTTTTTTTAATTTCCTTGGTTTTTAGATTCACTTGTTGATAGTTACGTATTTGTTGTTCATAATTTTTATCTTTATTTACTTTCTCTTCCGAAAGAACGCTCTTCAGTAATTCATATAATTCTGGTTTGGCGGTGATGAACTCCTTTAGCTTTTTTTTATTTATGAAGCTCTTTATCTGGCCTTCGATTCTGAGTGATAGCTTTGCTGGGTAGAGTATTTTTGGCTATAGGTCCTTACTATTCATCACCTTGAATATTTCTTGCCATTCCCATCTGGCCTGCATGGTTTTCGTTGAGAAGTCAGCTGACAATCGTATGGGTGCTCCTTTATAGGTAACTACCTGCTTTGCTCTTGCTGCTTTTAATATTCTCTTTTTGTCTTTTGCTCTTGGAATTTTAATTATGATGTGTCTTGGTGTGGTCTTCTTTGGATTCCTTTTGTTTGGAGTTCTGTGAGCTTCCTGGACTTGTAAGTCTAATTCTTTCACCAGGTGGGGGAAGTTTTCTGTCACTATTTCTTTCAGTATGTTTTTGATATCTTGCTCTCTCTCATCTTCTGGGACCCCCATAATTCTGATTTTGGTTCACTTGAAGTTGTCCCAGAGGTTTCTTATATCTTCAACTTTCTGGATTCTCTTGTCTTCTTGCTTCTGTGGAGGAGTGTCTTCTGGCTCTTTCTGTTCCAAATCTTTGACTTGATTCTTACGATCTTCCATACTGTTTTTAGGACTCTGAATAATATTTTTTATTTCAGACAATGTATTCTTTATTTCTTGTTGATCCCTTATTAATTCTAGTTGATCCCTTTTCATATCCTCATAGGTCTTATTGACCTTTTCTAGGAAATTCTTGAAAAATCTTATAAGCGTAGATTTTAACTCTATATCCAGTCGCTTTTTGTCCTCCATTTCTTTCGTTTGTGATTTATTTCCTCGTCTTGGCATTTTCGCAGCTCCCCTGAATTGGTAGCCTTAAAAGTCTCTGTGTTCTGCTTGGATGGGGCGGAGTTTCAGGGTGGAGCCTATAGCCTTGGCTTCTGTCAGCCCCGCCCTATGAGGTTTCTGAGTCTCAGTATTCCTCAGGGTCCTTCAGTACTCGTTGCAAGCACCTCTGAGAGAAAGGTGCCCTCGATTTTCGCCTGCTACCAAACAATCTAGGCTCTCCCCCAATGAGCCCAGAACTGGGGTTCAGTTCAGTTGGAAGTGGAGTTGGAAGTGGGGTTCAGAGCAGACTGGAGCTTTTGTCTCCTTCCCCCCAGGGCAATCCTGTGGCACAGCCAACCATCCCTTCTCTGCGCGCAATGTGCGCGCCTCCGGGACCTCCTTTCACCGCTCCCCCGGGTTTCTGCCTTACAGCTCAGCTCCCTCTGTATGAGCCTGGGTCCCTGGGGT